TAAAGTTAAAAACTTTTTTCATATAAAAATTATGACCTATCAATAATTTGTATTCAATTATTATTTATCTCAATGCTGTATCAGATAAAAATGTTATATTTTCAATATATGAAATCTTATAAAATTAAACATGCTAAAAATGAATAAAAGTCATAATCAGAACATATAAAATTATATAATAAATAATAAAACAATACTAAATTACTTTACATGTTAAAAGTCTTCTCTAATTTACTTAATTCTCTATCTCTTTTTACTCAATTTCACAGTCTCTTCTTCTTTGATTTTTCTCTTTTCATTTTTTTTATACTTTATATAAACTTATACTATTTAAGAAACTTTACATTTAATTTTAAATATATTCTAAAAGTAAAATTTAGTTTTATTTTCAATATATTATATATTTTTTAATTAATTTTTTTAAAACTATATATGTTAAAGTTTGGTATATTAATTTTTATAATGAACATCTTTACTTTTTAGCTACTTAAATAACCACAGTTTCTATTTAAATATCTAATATACTGAATTAAATATTAAATATAATAAATTATTAATTTTAATTAAATATATAAAGTAACATATTTAGTAACTTAAAAATAGAATCTCACTAAAATATTAATAAACTAAACTTGAAAGCTTACGAAAATATTAATAAAATTTTACCCTTATTTTTAATATATTTTATTAAACTTTATCTCCAATTTTATATTTCTAAATATAAAATTAATTCTTACTTTATATATATATATATATATATATATATATATATATATATATTATTGTTAATGTGTTTTAAAAGAATTGATCGAATTTGTATATTAACAGTAGCGAAAACATTTCTCACATTTGTACTTACATTTTTTAATATATTAGAGTATATATAATTTTATGATTTTATACATTTTATGGATAATCAATTAAAATATTAAAAAAAATACAATTTAAAAAATACATATATAAATATATAAAAATAGTATTAAAAAATTATGTGATCATTATTTAAAAATTTATTTACTTATTTTAAAATAAATAAAATTATTCAATTATTTATTATATTAAAAAATATACACAATATTATTTTTTTATTAATATTTAATTAAAAATAGAAAAATAATACAATTTAAACATTATATAATTAATAAAATATGTAACTATTATTTTTGAAAAGTTATTCAATCCTTTTGAAATAAAGACAAATTATTTTTTGTTAAATAAATAAGTCACTTTGTATTTAGTAAAGGATAAAATTATAAGATGAAATAATGTATTATTAAGAGTTAACAATTGAAAGAATATAGTACCATAAAGCCTCAGCAAAGATAATAAGGTAAATATATATTATTGAGACTGTGATAGACAAATCTATATAAATCTTTTAGTCATCCCGTTCAAAATGGATTCGAGAAATACAAACAACATTTAAAAATAATTATTTATTTTAGATCTTATCATTTGTTTGTAAAAGTAGAAGTCACAAAATAAGGTTAATATACACTAAGTAAGTAATTATAGTAAAGCGAAGGTTATAAACCGTACAAAATATGGGTAGAATGAGCTACATCAATGTTTGCTAAGTTTGTCGCAGACTTCTGCATGTCTAGCTGCTTGGACTGTAAACATCTCTTCCATCCTCCCATTTATGTTTGCAATGTTTTCTTCCATGGAGGAGGAGAAGGAGCCTTGATGAGCCCTTGAAGGTCCAACAATGTTGGCAGCGTCCATCATATCATCATCTTCCAGCAGCCACATCACCTTTATGTATGAAGGTATTTCTTGTGGAATGAAGCTAATTTTTCTTAAGGTTGGTTGCCAATCTCACGAGTGGGCAAGGTTTGTGAGACGTTTTTTCCTTCAATACTCGCCCCTTTGTACTCACATATGCGAGAGATGAGCAAGGTGTATGGAAGGCTATAGGCAGGATACCTGTTAGCTTTAAGCATATTGTCAAGTATGAGGTTGGGCCAAACAATAATGATTTTGTTTAGCAGCCAATATATAAAGAGAAAATCTTGTCAGAACATTGAACATGGTTAGTGGTACAACGAGCAAGAATCCAAACAACGAGATAATGGATGAGGCGTTCATCCATCTTGAGTCCACTAACCAATAGTTGTTTTCACTTGATGCGTTGTTGCGGGTTCCTTACGAAGGATCGATAAGCAAGAATGCGGTTGAATCCTTCAACTCTAAGATGTACGTGTTGTCTCGTAGAGAAAGGTGAGGAACAATGGTCCATATATCATTGTTAAGAATGATATCTACTCCTTTCACCTTTGTGTAAGCAACTTCATCTCTCAATTTGAAGTCATAATAGAATACCCGAACTAAATATGGGTAGAAGGTTACGAAGGATCGATAAGCAAGGATGCGGTTGAATCCTTCAACTCTAAGATGTACCTTGATCGTGTCATCTCGTACAGGAAGGTGAGGAACATTGGTCCAGATATCATTGTCAAGAATGATATCTACTCCTTTCACCTTTGCGTAAGCAACTTCATCTCTGAATTTGAAGTATAATATAATACTTGAACTAAATATGGGTATAAGGCATCCTTGTGCTCCATAACGAGTTGCATGCCTATATTGTCTAGAATTTTGGGGAATATGAAGCCATTATTGGTAAACCAATTGATATTGATGAATTTTGGAGCCACCATTGCGCTCTTTCTAGAAATTAATGAATTTTTCGTGTTTCTCTAAATCAAAGACCTGTCCTTCAAGGATTGCGGGTCTTAGAGCCATTGCAGGAGGATGTATACGACTTCTTCACCTAGTAGGTATCTTGCGTCTAGATGGTTCAACCATTTAGGGGAAGCATAGAAATGCGAAGTTTTAGGAACAAGAGAAAGGAATGTAGGGGATCAAGATAGCTCATATAGATTATAGTGTTAAATAATCGATTATATATATATATATATATATATATATATACACCATGAAGCCTAATGACTTCTTTAAGGGGAAAGCAATCGTTTATAGCTGTTGTAATGGCTAATTTTGAAGTGGACGTTATACAATAATGCGTGACAATCGATTATTATTTATTATGATCGATTATCATATCTTAAGTGTGCTTCAGAATTGAAGGATAATCGATTATCCATCTTGGATAATCGATTATTGCCGCAAATATAAGGACATGTGTTGCATGACTACTTTACATAATCAATTATTAGTCGTGATAATCGATTATTTGTGAATGAAAAAGTGATTTTTAAAGAAGCTTAAGGTAATCGATTATCAACTTAAGATAATTGATTATTGTTGAGACACTTAAAAACAACAATAGCTTAAGATAATCGATTATCAAACTTGGATAATAGATTATTGCACGTTAATTTTAGAAAACAAGTTTGGGAAATTTTTGGGCGACTAAGATATATCTAAAACTCCTAAGTCCCTCCTAAGCTCATAAAGTATTTCCTTAGATAAAGCTTTGGTGAAAATTTCAGCTAATTGATGCATAATGTCTATATACTCTATGACATAATCACCTTTTTGGATATGATCCCTAAGGAAGTGATGTCTAATCTCAATATTTTTTGTTCTATAATGCATTATGGCGTTTTTGGTCAGGTTAATAGCACTTGTGTTGTGACATTTCAGTGGAATGTGATTAAGAAAGATATCACAATTTTCAAGTTTCTATTTCCTCTAGAGGATTCGGGCACAACAATTGTCAATAGTAATGTATTCAGCCTCAATAATGGACAAAGCCACACAAGCATGCTTCTTAGAGTGCCATGAGACTAAAGAATATCCAAGAAAATGAAAAGTGCACTAGTACGTTTTCTATCTATCTTACAACCCCCATAATCAACATCGGAATATCCTATTAGGTAAAGAGACACATCATAAGGATACCATAAACTAAAAGAAGTAGCTCCCTTAAGATATTTTAAAATGCACTTAATTGCTACAAGACGTGACTCCTTAGGACATGCTTGGTATCTAAAGGAGACACATACACTCTGCATTATATCAGGCCTACTAGCATTAAGATATAGAAGAGAACCAATCATACCTCTAAACATGGTTTGATTAACTTCAAGACCTGATTCATCTTTGCCCAAATAACAAGAGGTAGCCATAGGCGATTTTCCTCCTTTGCTGTGTCCATTCCAAATTTTTTAAGTATCTTTCTACAATACATAGTTTGTGAGATGAAAGTACCATCTTCCATCTGTTTAATTTGAAATCTTAGAAAGGATGTCAATAATTTTTCATTGACATCTCAAATTCTCCTTTCATAATACTTGTAAACCCCTCACACAGAGAATCATCAGTTGATCTAAAACTAAACATAAACAACCATGACCATAACGCCGAAAAAAAACGAAAAAAAAGAAAAAAAAATATAAAATCAAATCACAATATTTACTAAATCAATAATTTTGTTGTTGAAGGATTTTTTGAATTACCATCAATTTATCAGTTAATAAAATTGATTTTTTGGTGAAGGCATTACCATAATTTTTATCTTACTTACCAAAAATTTATGTGTTTCACTTTTCAAAATAGAAAAATTAGTTTTGAGGATAACTTTATCATTGCTTAAACTTAATTATTTTGTTTAATGATACATTTATTACAAAATGTACAAGGTTTTTGATTGAAATGAGTTGATACAAAGTAACACTTGATCAACTTTAACTTTCACATAATTATTATATAAGAAAAAGTAAAACAAAATTTAGAAGTTCGCAAAAATAGACCTTAATTTTAAATTATTGCAATATTAATTACTTAATTATGCGTGCTAAATTTTTTTACATGAGATTTTTTTTGATACTTTTAACTGTGATGGTGTTAAAATTACCAAGCATGATAACTTCGAACTCGCATAAAAATAATCAAACAAAATACAAAACAATAAAGAAATAACTACTTTTTAAAAAAATAGAATAACAAATTAAATCTGAACAACAAGATACACAATTTAGGCTGTTACACACTGAATTAAATTCTAGAAAAGGAAAATATTTCACTACATAAACATTCTACTGAGATACCTGAAAAAAACAAACAATTTCTTTTGTTTCCAATCCATTAATCGTAAAATAAATTAGCTCGCCCGAAGCGAGGCAATACTCATTTCGGTGGTCGTGAACTTGATTCCGTCGAAGCGATTCCGTATATGAGCGGTGGCGCGCCTTCGATTCAATTCCTAACCCATGGAATCACCGGGTAAGCTAAACTGGATCCACCCGTTACAGTAACGTTCGATCAATTTTCATTTCCCAACGAATTCGCGTTCGTTAATTTTCAGGTGCTTTGAGGGACACGTCGGTTATCGTGGTGACGCTGGACTCCGACGAAGTCTACATCATTGTGAGCCTCAGCACCAGAACGGACACTCAGGCAATCTACGTCGATCCAACCACCGGGGCGCTTCTCTACTTTGCCAGGCCAGGGTTCGATCTGTTCAAGTCGCAGGGTGAGGCCTTGGATTTCGTCACCAATGGATCGCGATTTGCTTGCAAGAGCAGGACTCCCGCAAGGGCGATATTAGGATACGCCGCGTTCGGGAACGTGGCGATGCTCCTCGTCGCGACGAGGTTGACCGCCAGCGTTCCCAATATGCCGGGTGGCGGTTGCGTGTACACGGTGGCGGAGAGCCTCTGGATCAGGATTCCGCTGCACAATGCGGTGTCGCTGGGGAAGGGAGAGGCCAAGAACGTGCAAGAGTTGACGGAGCTTGATATTGACGGGAAGCATTACTTCTGCGAGACGAGGGATGTTACGCGCCCTTTCCCAAGCCGCTTCCCGATGAGTCAACCTGATGAGGAGTTTGTTTGGAACGCGTGGTTTTCTACGCCGTTTGTTGATATTGGCTTGCCACGGCATTGCGTCACGCTACTGCAGGTTCTGTGATCTCTTCTGTTTACGTTTGAGCGAATGTAGTATAACTTAATTTTGGAATATCTATTGCTGTTGAACCCTGGGAATTGCAAGAATGTACGTGAAAGTTGGATACTTCAAATGTGCAATTGAGTGAATCTAGTGTAACTTGCTCTTGAGATATCAGTTGCTTGTTGAATCTTGGTAATTTCGTGAAAGTAGGATAATCTGAATTCGGGAGTTCAATACAATTAAAGTTACTCAATGTTTTGAATTGTAGTCACGGTTGGTGATTGTTGCGTTCGTAGATATTGTACGAAATTGCAAACAAATCTGCGATTGTCGTTGTGTTTCAGTTAATAGACCCCACAAATCTCAATGTTGTGATCAAAATTGTAGTTGCAGACTGTTTTTTGAACCCTGGTTACCTGTGTTATCTTGCTAGCTGAAAGATTTTGTTTGTGCAAATTGGATGCCAATAAAGATGAGTTTGTTAGGAGGTTGATGAATTTTTTTGCATTAACAACTAAGGATGATAATGACTGAATTTGTGGTTTGCTTTCTGAAAGATCGCATTTGTTGCGTTTGGCAACATGGGTAGACGAGATTTTACAAATAGTCTCTTTATGAACGCATAATTGTGGTATACTTGTTTAAATTTTTTAATTCACATCCTTGTATTGTGAGAATGATAATCATGAACTATGGATGTGCCTTTGGCTGTTAGTTTGTTCTTGTTGGCTATTATTAGTTTTCTTTTCTACTTCCATGCTTGTGCAAGCTCTGTCTCAATTAGTGATTATATTTTATGGCAATGCTGTACCAAAGATAGTACCTGTATAGAGCGATTAAGATGTGAAATTCACATGTGCATTCTTTTGTCTCACTTGGTCTTGATGTGTAGGGGTTTGCAGAATGTAGAAGTTTTGGAAGCTCAGGTCAACTCGAAGGTATTGTGGTTCTCATAGCTCGTCGAAGTAGGCTTCACCCGGGTACTCGATACTTGGCAAGGGGGTTAAATTCATGTTTCAGTACAGGTGAATGTAGATATCATTGCCTGTTTAACTAGCATTTTTCCATTATAATTAGTTGATTTATTGACCCATAAGAATAGCTTTCTGGCTGACTTTAAGGAAATAATAATTCATTTTAACTTAAACCTGTTTGATTATGATTTTGATACATCATCTTGTAAATTATGGTTTCAGTAACATGCGTTAATATCTTTGTTAAATTTCCCAAATAGGGAAAGTTTCACAATCACTTATTTCACCCTCGTTCTTTTTTTAGTGTAAGGTGTGTGTACTGTTCCCATCATTTATTCATCATCTTTTCTGTTTTGCCCTTGATAATCATCATTTTGTGTGCCTTAGTGTTACCACTTGCCAAATTTTTATTAGGTTCCATTTTGCAGGAAATGAAGTGGAGTGTGAACAACTAGTATGGGTTCCCAAACGATCTGGTCAAAGTGAACCTTTCAACACATATGTGTGGCGAAGAGGCACTATTCCTATCTGGTGGGGTGCAGAACTGAAAATTACAGCTGCAGAAGCTGAAATTTATGTNTTTGGATTTTTGAGCTTTCTCTACTCCTTTGTATGATAACTTCAATGTATCCCACGCATCTTTGGCAGTCTTGCAATTTGCAATTTTGCCAAAAATTGAATAATCTATTCCTTGTTGAATTTGTGATAGCGCCAACTGCCCTTTCCTTTGAAATTCTGCATTAGCTTGTTCTTGTAAGCCTGGTTCAATAAAGCTCCAGAGGTTGTGAGCTTTCAAATGGGTGGACATCAACAATTCCCAATAATTATAATCCATTTTGTCATCTAATTTGGGACCAGACCAAACAATATTGTAATTTGTGGCCATCTCTCTCTTTCTCAAATAGACTCAAAAATTTTGTTAAGGTGAGAACGCTTTTGTTCCTCACACACTCAGTAATTTTTTTTTGACTCTCTCACAAACTCAAAAAACTAATACTGGATCTAACTAGCTCTGATACCAATTTGATATCAGTGGGATTAATATTTTCTAAAGACACTCACTCAAAGTAAAGAAACAGAGGAAGAGAACTTAAACTCTCTCAGGATATTTCATTCACTTGACAAACTTGTGCATTTCCGTACATTAGAGTTGCCTATTTTATAGGTTACAATTACAATATAATAATAGTAAATGTTTCTTAAGCACAAAGAAAGCTACATAACGTGATTTGTCAGCAGCTTTTCAGTTTTGAGTTTTTCCGTAAACGGTGCTATACTTGATTTATTTCTGACACTTTGTACTCACATATGCGAGAGATGAGCAAGGTGTATGGAAGGCTATAGGCAGGATACCTCTTAGCTTTAAGCATATTGTCAAGTATGAGGTTGGGCCAAACAATAATGATTTTGTTTAGCAGCCAATATATAAAGAGAAAATCTTGTCAGAACATTGAACATGGTTAGTGGTACAACGAGCAAGAATCCAAACAACGAGATAATGGATGAGGCGTTCATCAATCTTGAGTCCACTAACCAATAGTTGTTTTCACTTGATGCGTTGTTGCGGGTTCCTTACGAAGGATCGATAAGCAAGAATGCGGTTGAATCCTTCAACTCTAAGATGTACGTGTTGTCTCGTAGAGAAAGGTGAGGAACAATGGTCCATATATCATTGTTAAGAATGATATCTACTCCTTTCACCTTTGTGTAAGCAACTTCATCTCTCAATTTGAAGTCATAATAGAATACCCGAACTAAATATGGGTAGAAGGTTACGAAGGATCGATAAGCAAGGATGCGGTTGAATCCTTCAACTCTAAGATGTACCTTGATCGTGTCATCTCGTACAGGAAGGTGAGGAACATTGGTCCAGATATCATTGTCAAGAATGATATCTACTCCTTTCACCTTTGCGTAAGCAACTTCATCTCTGAATTTGAAGTATAATATAATACTTGAACTAAATATGGGTATAAGGCATCCTTGTGCTCCATAACGAGTTGCATGCCTATATTGTCTAGAATTTTGGGGAATATGAAGCCATTATTGGTAAACCAATTGATATTGATGAATTTTGGAGCCACCATTGCGCTCTTTCTAGAAATTAATGAATTTTTCGTGTTTCTCTAAATCAAAGACCTGTCCTTCAAGGATTGCGGGTCTTAGAGCCATTGCAGGAGGATGTATACGACTTCTTCACCTAGTAGGTATCTTGCGTCTAGATGGTTCAACCATTTAGGGGAAGCATAGAAATGCGAAGTTTTAGGAACAAGAGAAAGGAATGTAGGGGATCAAGATAGCTCATATAGATTATAGTGTTAAATAATCGATTATATATATATATATATATATATATATATATATATATATACCCACCATGAAGCCTAATGACTTCTTTAAGGGGAAAGCAATCGTTTATAGCTGTTGTAATGGCTAATTTTGAAGTGGACGTTATACAATAATGCGTAACAATCGATTATTATTTATTATGATCGATTATCATATCATAAGTGTGCTTCAGAATTGAAGGATAATCGATTATCCATCTTGGATAATCGATTATTGCCGCAAATATAAGGACATGTGTTGCATGACTACTTTACATAATCAATTATTAGTCGTGATAATCGATTATTTGTGAATGAAAAAGTGATTTTTAAAGAAGCTTAAGGTAATCGATTATCAACTTAAGATAATTGATTATTGTTGAGACACTTAAAAACAACAATAGCTTAAGATAATCGATTATCAAACTTGGATAATAGATTATTGCACGTTAATTTTAGAAAACAAGTTTGGGAAATTTTTGGGCGACTAAGATATATCTAAAACTCCTAAGTCCCTCCTAAGCTCATAAAGTATTTCCTTAGATAAAGCTTTGGTGAAAATTTCAGCTAATTGATGCATAATGTCTATATACTCTATGACATAATCACCTTTTTGGATATGATCCCTAAGGAAGTGATGTCTAATCTCAATATTTTTTGTTCTATAATGCATTATGGCGTTTTTGGTCAGGTTAATAGCACTTGTGTTGTGACATTTCAGTGGAATGTGATTAAGAAAGATATCACAATTTTCAAGTTTCTATTTCCTCTAGAGGATTCGGGCACAACAATTGTCAATAGTAATGTATTCAGCCTCAATAATGGACAAAGCCACACAAGCATGCTTCTTAGAGTGCCATGAGACTAAAGAATATCCAAGAAAATGAAAAGTGCACTAGTACGTTTTCTATCTATCTTACAACCCCCATAATCAACATCGGAATATCCTATTAGGTAAAGAGACACATCATAAGGATACCATAAACTAAAAGAAGTAGCTCCCTTAAGATATTTTAAAATGCACTTAATTGCTACAAGACGTGACTCCTTAGGACATGCTTGGTATCTAAAGGAGACACATACACTCTGCATTATATCAGGCCTACTAGCATTAAGATATAGAAGAGAACCAATCATACCTCTAAACATGGTTTGATTAACTTCAAGACCTGATTCATCTTTGCCCAAATAACAAGAGGTAGCCATAGGCGATTTTCCTCCTTTGCTGTGTCCATTCCAAATTTTTTAAGTATCTTTCTACAATACATAGTTTGTGAGATGAAAGTACCAACTTCCATCTGTTTAATTTGAAATCTTAGAAAGGATGTCAATAATTTTTCATTGACATCTCAAATTCTCCTTTCATAATACTTGTAAACCCCTCACACAGAGAATCATCAGTTGATCTAAAACTAAACATAAACAACCATGACCATAACGCCGAAAAAAAACGAAAAAAAAGAAAAAAAAATATAAAATCAAATCACAATATTTACTAAATCAATAATTTTGTTGTTGAAGGATTTTTTGAATTACCATCAATTTATCAGTTAATAAAATTGATTTTTTGGTGAAGACATTACCATAATTTTTATCTTACTTACCAAAAATTTATGTGTTTCACTTTTCAAAATAGAAAAATTAGTTTTGAGGATAACTTTATCATTGCTTAAACTTAATTATTTTGTTTAATGATACATTTATTACAAAATGTACAAGGTTTTTGATTGAAATGAGTTGATACAAAGTAACACTTGATCAACTTTAACTTTCACATAATTATTATATAAGAAAAAGTAAAACAAAATTTAGAAGTTCGCAAAAATAGACCTTAATTTTAAATTATTGCAATATTAATTACTTAATTATGCGTGCTAAATTTTTTTACATGAGATTTTTTTTGATACTTTTAACTGTGATGGTGTTAAAATTACCAAGCATGATAACTTCGAACTCGCATAAAAATAATCAAACAAAATACAAAACAATAAAGAAATAACTACTTTTTAAAAAAATAGAATAACAAATTAAATCTGAACAACAAGATACACAATTTAGGCTGTTACACACTGAATTAAATTCTAGAAAAGGAAAATATTTCACTACATAAACATTCTACTGAGATACCTGAAAAAAACAAACAATTTCTTTTGTTTCCAATCCATTAATCGTAAAATAAATTAGCTCGCCCGAAGCGAGGCAATACTCATTTCGGTGGTCGTGAACTTGATTCCGTCGAAGCGATTCCGTATATGAGCGGTGGCGCGCCTTCGATTCAATTCCTAACCCATGGAATCACCGGGTAAGCTAAACTGGATCCACCCGTTACAGTAACGTTCGATCAATTTTCATTTCCCAACGAATTCGCGTTCGTTAATTTTCAGGTGCTTTGAGGGACACGTCGGTTATCGTGGTGACGCTGGACTCCGACGAAGTCTACATCATTGTGAGCCTCAGCACCAGAACGGACACTCAGGCAATCTACGTCGATCCAACCACCGGGGCGCTTCTCTACTTTGCCAGGCCAGGGTTCGATCTGTTCAAGTCGCAGGGTGAGGCCTTGGATTTCGTCACCAATGGATCGCGATTTGCTTGCAAGAGCAGGACTCCCGCAAGGGCGATATTAGGATACGCCGCGTTCGGGAACGTGGCGATGCTCCTCGTCGCGACGAGGTTGACCGCCAGCGTTCCCAATATGCCGGGTGGCGGTTGCGTGTACACGGTGGCGGAGAGCCTCTGGATCAGGATTCCGCTGCACAATGCGGTGTCGCTGGGGAAGGGAGAGGCCAAGAACGTGCAAGAGTTGACGGAGCTTGATATTGACGGGAAGCATTACTTCTGCGAGACGAGGGATGTTACGCGCCCTTTCCCAAGCCGCTTCCCGATGAGTCAACCTGATGAGGAGTTTGTTTGGAACGCGTGGTTTTCTACGCCGTTTGTTGATATTGGCTTGCCACGGCATTGCGTCACGCTACTGCAGGTTCTGTGATCTCTTCTGTTTACGTTTGAGCGAATGTAGTATAACTTAATTTTGGAATATCTATTGCTGTTGAACCCTGGGAATTGCAAGAATGTACGTGAAAGTTGGATACTTCAAATGTGCAATTGAGTGAATCTAGTGTAACTTGCTCTTGAGATATCAGTTGCTTGTTGAATCTTGGTAATTTCGTGAAAGTAGGATAATCTGAATTCGGGAGTTCAATACAATTAAAGTTACTCAATGTTTTGAATTGTAGTCACGGTTGGTGATTGTTGCGTTCGTAGATATTGTACGAAATTGCAAACAAATCTGCGATTGTCGTTGTGTTTCAGTTAATAGACCCCACAAATCTCAATGTTGTGATCAAAATTGTAGTTGCAGACTGTTTTTTGAACCCTGGTTACCTGTGTTATCTTGCTAGCTGAAAGATTTTGTTTGTGCAAATTGGATGCCAATAAAGATGAGTTTGTTAGGAGGTTGATGAATTTTTTTGCATTAACAACTAAGGATGATAATGACTGAATTTGTGGTTTGCTTTCTGAAAGATCGCATTTGTTGCGTTTGGCAACATGGGTAGACGAGATTTTACAAATAGTCTCTTTATGAACGCATAATTGTGGTATACTTGTTTAAATTTTTTAATTCACATCCTTGTATTGTGAGAATGATAATCATGAACTATGGATGTGCCTTTGGCTGTTAGTTTGTTCTTGTTGGCTATTATTAGTTTTCTTTTCTACTTCCATGCTTGTGCAAGCTCTGTCTCAATTAGTGATTATATTTTATGGCAATGCTGTACCAAAGATAGTACCTGTATAGAGCGATTAAGATGTGAAATTCACATGTGCATTCTTTTGTCTCACTTGGTCTTGATGTGTAGGGGTTTGCAGAATGTAGAAGTTTTGGAAGCTCAGGTCAACTCGAAGGTATTGTGGTTCTCATAGCTCGTCGAAGTAGGCTTCACCCGGGTACTCGATACTTGGCAAGGGGGTTAAATTCATGTTTCAGTACAGGTGAATGTAGATATCATTGCCTGTTTAACTAGCATTTTTCCATTATAATTAGTTGATTTATTGACCCATAAGAATAGCTTTCTGGCTGACTTTAAGGAAATAATAATTCATTTTAACTTAAACCTGTTTGATTATGATTTTGATACATCATCTTGTAAATTATGGTTTCAGTAACATGCGTTAATATCTTTGTTAAATTTCCCAAATAGGGAAAGTTTCACAATCACTTATTTCACCCTCGTTCTTTTTTTAGTGTAAGGTGTGTGTACTGTTCCCATCATTTATTCATCATCTTTTCTGTTTTGCCCTTGATAATCATCATTTTGTGTGCCTTAGTGTTACCACTTGCCAAATTTTTATTAGGTTCCATTTTGCAGGAAATGAAGTGGAGTGTGAACAACTAGTATGGGTTCCCAAACGATCTGGTCAAAGTGAACCTTTCAACACATATGTGTGGCGAAGAGGCACTATTCCTATCTGGTGGGGTGCAGAACTGAAAATTACAGCTGCAGAAGCTGAAATTTATGTTTCAGATTGTGATCCTTATAAAGGAAGTGTAGAGTATTATGGAAGACTGGGTAAGAGATATGATGCTCGGAATCTAGATATACGTGCTGGTGAGAAACCGAACAGGAAAGCTTTGGTTCCCATTGTACTGATAAACTTGCTTCGAAATGGTGAAGGGAAGTCAGAGTCCCTTTTGGTTCAACATTTTGAGGAGTCTATTAACTTTATTAGATCATCTGGGAAGCTTCCATACACTCGGGTCCATTTGATAAATTATGACTGGCATGCTAGTACAAAATTAAAAGGTGAACAAATGACAATTGAAGGGTTATGGATACTTCTCAAAGCACCTACTATATCCATAGGTATATCTGAAGGGGATTATTTGCCTTCCCGACAACGAATAAATGATTGCAGAGGCGAAGTTATCTACAATGATGATTTTGAAGGTGCATTCTGCTTAAGAACACATCAAAATGGGATCATACGTTTTAACTGTGCCGATTCTTTGGATAGGACCAATGCTGCTAGTTTTTTTGGCTGCCTCCAAGTATTCACTGAGCAATGTAGACGGTTAGGGATATCACTTGATAGTGATTTGGCTTTTGGTTATCAGTCAATGAGAAATAATTATGGTGGATATACTGCTCCACTGCCACCTGGGTGGGAGAAGCGATCTGATGCTGTGACAGGAAAAACATATTATATTGATCATAATACCAGAACAACCACATGGATGCATCCATGTCCCGATAAACCATGGAAGAGATTTGATATGACATTTGAGGAGTTCAAGAGATCAACAATTTTATCTCCTGTATCTCAACTTTCTGACCTTTTCTTACTTGCTGGGGATATTCATGCTACTCTTTACACTGGTTCCAAAGCAATGCATAGCCAAATACTTAGCATATTCAGTGAAGAAGCAGGAAAGTTTAAACAGTTTTCAGCTGCACAGAATGTGAAAATCACTCTGCAAAGAAGATATAAGAATGCAGTTGTGGATAGCTCTCGTCAAAAGCAATTAGAAATGTTTCTTGGAATGAGGCTTTTCAAGCATCTTCCATCAATTTCCCTTAAACCTCTACATGTATGTGACTTGCCAACTGTCAAAGTTAACTGAGTGATGCCTTTCTGTTTCTTTTTCATGCATCAAGTTCCTAGCAATTGCAGTTTCATAATTAATTTCATGTTAGTCACTGAATCACATCTCCTTTCACTTTTTGCATCTCTCTGTCGCTAAATTTTCTGTATTCATGTCTGCTTCTGGTTGAGGGATTCCACTTTTAACTGTTGACTTGTAATGCCAGTTAATATGGTATAATTTTTTAATGTTCAAACTTTTAAACCTGTGGTTTTCAG